TATTATACTTTAAATTAAATTAAAAATGCTTAAGGGTATATTATTAGGYAGGTTTCCCACAAAATCAAAAAATCATTGTTTTTTTCTGCACCATTATTACAAATTAAAACCATAGATAAAAAATTAAACATATTTTAATTTTAAATTAGGTGGAATATCTCATTTATTTCAATTTGTTATTGTTAAACATCAGAATTTYAGTTTTCTGAATATTTATTGATTGAAGCGAATCAAGTTGAACATATGAAATACCTACTAAATATTATCATAATCAGGCAAACAGCAAATAAAAAAACCTCATTAATATGCTATAGATTATAATCACGATGCTTACATGTATAATTTCTTATCATATATCGTCATATCGATAACCGTGTTAATAATTTTTTCCAGACAGAAGTCTTCACTGAGTATTTAAAAAAACTGTATGAATGTATAATATTATTATAATTTCAAATGTTATGCCAATGTTAAACATTTGTYAACTAAAAATATAAGTAYAAGGCAGTAAGATTGCATTYAAACTCTAGAAAAATGTTTTCATTTAAATTAAATAGGCCATTTAGAATAAATAATACAGGCAGGTACTTGCGTTTTGCTGCAAAACTTTTGCATAAAGAAAATATAAAACTGGATTGTTGATTTTCATTACGTCTTATGACTGTTCGACTAACGACTATTATTATAGGTATATACGCAGTTGATGTACAAATAAAMRCATAGGAAATAAACAGAAATATTTAGAAGTAATAATGTTTACGTATACTTTATATTTATTTACAACTAAATGTGATTATGACTTAAAATACTGCAGTATGCACTGATCACGTCATACTGTTTTAATATAGTCAACTAATATTATATGTATATAGCTAGGTCACTGTACAGTAGTGCCTTTTTTTTAAATTCTGAGCGGAGCGATGAATGTATTGATTTCACCATGATGTGTGTGTGTGTGTTTTTTTTTTTGTGTCTGTCATCACGTTTTGGGGCAGTAAAAGTGCTTCGATTTTTGACTTCAGTACCTCGTTCGATCAGAAAGTGGAACTAGTTGGTACTTTTGGGGGGTCAAAAGTGAAAAATTCTTAATACTTTTCTAAATAATCGAGAAAAACAAACTAAAAATTAAGGGAAAAACGGGAAATTTTACGCACACTCATTTTTCGACAAAATCGATATTGGTTTTTGATGCAATTTTAAAACAAATGAACAGATATTAGATACATAAAATTTTCATC